TTGGATTGCTGTGGAAAAAAATTCATCCATAACAATTGACATAATAGTTAAAGAAATTAGTTTTATGATATGTGAATGGCAGTCTTCTTTATTTTTTAAACCTGATGGACACTATAATTATATACAAAATAACCATCTAGCTTATGCTGCAGTCATAAAATACTTTTCTATACCCACTAACTTGTTAATACCCATCTACTTGTCCATAAACATGTACCTCCAACAATACCGATAGCCTTTAATGTACCTATCTACTCTCTACTGTAGTCATAAAATATGATTTCATCTAATAAAACAACTGTTTACCAATATTGCTTGATTAAATAAACATTTGCACCACTTTAATTACTTGAGATGCCATGCACCACCTAAGCTGACTTAAGAAAGAAATTATTCCTAAAATGTAAAAGCAGTTTTTCTGCCATACATTCATGGATATTATTATTAATTGAAAAATTCAATTTTTATATCTATAAACATAACAATTAATATACTGCTTGTCATTATATGTTTGGATTGCTGTGGAAGAAAATTAATTCATAAAAATTGAAATAATAGTTAAAGAAATTAGTTTGATGATATGTAAATGGCAGTCTTCTTTATTTTTTAAACCTGATGGACACTATAATTATATACAAAATAACCATCTACGTTATACTGCAGTCATAAAATACCTATCCACCCCCATAAAATAATCATCTAGGTTATACTGGAATCATAAAAGACTCATCTACCCCCAAAGAATAACCATCTAGGGGGGGCTGGAATCATAAAATACTCATATACCCCCATAAAATACTTATCTACCCTATACTGTAGTCATAAAATATGATTTCATCTAATAAAACAACTGTTTACCAATATTGCTTGATTAAATAAACATTTGCACCACTTTAATTACTTGAGATGCCATGCACCACCTAAGCTGACTTAAGAAAGAAATTATTCCTAAAATGTAAAAGCAGTTTTTCTGCCATACATTCATGGATATTATTATTAATTGAAAAATTCAATTTTTATATCTATAAACATAACAATTATTATACTGCTTTTCATTATATGTTTGGATTGCTGTGGAAAAAAATTAATTCATAAAAATTGAAATAATAGTTAAAGAAATTAGTTTTATGATATGTAAATGGCAGTCTTCTTTATTTTTTAAACCTGATGGACACTATAATTATATAAATATATCCCTGTTTCAATGATTTGTCAGTATACCACTTATTGACAGCTGATCTTGACCACACCTGTATGTTGTCACCAGGCAACAGTAGCCCCCAGGGCCCAAGCTCCCACAGGTGACACCCTGTGTATTATAATTACCTGGATAGACATATAGGAACCATGTATTACAGGTAACATGATGTAATAATGCTATACATTTTGTATTTATGTAAAAAGTCTTGATAAATTTTATGGGGATGAATATTTTATGGGGGGGATTAGTATTTAATGCATTAAATACTCATCCGGATGAGTATTTTATGGGGGATGAACATTTTATATGACACCGGGTTTAATGTGCACTTCATTTAATGTTCAGTATTATCCTGTATACTGGAGCATGTTCACATACTTTCCATACAGGGATTGAAATGGGTTTTTTCATATTTTTATTTCATCCCCTGCCTAGATGATTTACTGGTACAGAGGGTATTTCGCCGTCATGTTTTGTTTTTCGTCGATCAATGTATCATGAAATCTCGCGAAACGAAAGGTTTCTCCCAAAATGTGTGTCTGTATATAACATGTAACTACAATATTGTTTCTAGTTTCACTAGACATGAAGGTGATAGATGGCTATAATTATATCGGAAAATATCTGGTATAGGTTTCACTGCATTATGGTGCATGCAAGTGTGAAATAATCAACGGTATTTTCCGTCTAACTGTATGGGTGACATCACGTTCAGTCACGTGACAAACTGACTTCCTTGTGAAAATGGTTGACAACATCTACCCTGTTGTAAACAACTGATCCTTAAAGCCACTAAATGATCGTTGTCGACATTTTAATCGGCACAGTGGCAGAGATAGATAAGTATTTACATTTGCATGACATTGTCACTATATGGGCTATTTGAAAGTTGTGTTGTTGATGGTACTTTAAATATCATGCACCACGAGACATATCTCTTAGCGTATTAATACAACACCGACCGGAACTACAATATCCAATGTAAACAAACATGACGGCTGCTGAAATATCGTAGGGCATTATGAGACTTAAAAATGTAGAGCAACGGAGGGTGTTATCGACGGTATTGACCCCCGGTTCTAGTCACCTCGTTTTGGATCGATTACGAACCGTTTTCGAGACAATCGGTACACTAACCTTTTCGGAATCCCTCGGAACCGTTCCATTCAGACAAGACCGGCTAAACAAATTTTCTGAATTTTTGTTTCCAAAGAGAAGAATCGATCCTTACGGGCATCGATGAGATATGTATATCACTTCGAGTTTTAATAACATTTTTATCTGAAATATCTGCCACATAATGGTGTAATCCAACTTCACTCATGAAGCGTCTGCAACGTTTGTCAGCGTCCTATCAACATCCGGGTTATTGTTAAGATCGGAAATAGGGTTGTCGATAACTGCCGCAATTTGAGTATCGGAGGTAGTTATCGACAGTATGTGAAAAAAATACCGATTAATTTTTGTTTTATTCATTAAAAGCATATTTTTATGATTGACTTGTACTTCAAAAATGTGTGTATGAGAACACCCGACACAAATAATGTTGCTAAAGTCTATCCAGTTAACAGACATAACTTTACAAGCATAAATAAAATATTAAAAAATCTTAAGTTCTCAATAAAATCCATGTAGATAAGTCTTGTAAACTGCAATTACAAATTAAGAAAAGTATCAATATAGGAAAATAATGCAGCCAGATAGACAGAATACAATATATATTGAACAATAAACAATTACATAGAACAAATGTTGATGAAAATTGTTCTGTTAAGCAGGAGGTATAGAACTAATCATCTTGCGAACATCGAGAATTTAAAAACATTTCGACAATGATTATTTTAAGAAGATTCAATTATGTTTTCTTGAATAACATTTCTGATCTTTATCATTGTAGGATACAATACCTCATAATTCAAAACTTCTGGGCTGTTGGAATGCATCACTGGGGATCAAAAGAATTTGAAATTGGGGTGGGACACCATATTGAAAGGGAACCAGAAAATATGTTTCATCAAAATGCTGTGATGGTGACTGTTTTGCGCATGAGTGTAGAAAAGGGAGCGTGTTTGCTTACATGACTAGACATGTTTATACTTTTTTCTAAGCATTTGGACATACGTCAGAACAAATGAATATATTATGAGAGACTAATAATAGAAATAATTAACATATTAATTTAGCTGTCGATAACTACATGTACCTCCACCTGTCGATAACTACATTTACCTCCACCTGTCGATAACTACATGTACCTCCACCTGTCGATAACTACATGTACCTCCATATGTCGATACCTACATGTACCTCCACCTGTCGATAATTACATGTAACTCCACCTGTCGATAACTACATGTACCTCCACCTATCGATAACTGCCCCTGTCATCAACGTAACCAAAACAATGATTTCTCCCGCGATTCGTCACATGTACGCTTATTGCAGATGATGAAATAGAGTACGTTTCCCGACTTCTCCGAAATGCCATCATATAATAACTTACGCAAAACGGTAAACTAGAAAAACAAGTTTGAATGTCGATAACTGCCTCCTTTGTAAATGATTTTTTTTTGTTTTTGTTAAAACAATACTTGTATTACAACAAAAAAGACCAAGGTCTGCAATATCGTACAAAATGCACATAGGTTGAAATAACAAAAGAAACAATTTTAACACTCATGCAATTTATCAGAAATATTGTCTGTTACACTACACTGATCCACAGGGGTTCGTTACACTAGTCTGAAATACACATATGCTAGAGACCTACTGATATGAGTCACAGCACACATAAAGATACACAAGGCATAGGTGTGTATTTCAGACATTTGTAACGAACCCCTGTGCTCTGTCGTATGAGATCACTCACTTCAAACGCTATCAGTTTCACTTGTCTATCAGCTACGGTTTCCTCAGTTTCTGACGACAAGTCAAATAACGCGGCTGTTGAAGAATCTAGTCAGGTTCCCATACGACTCCCTCGTGGATGGCAAGATCAGATTACCGGTGTTCACTGTATTTATCCATGCACGAAATTTGTTCCGGGAAAACAAATCGAAACAATTTCAAATCTAACTTTCAGCTCAGATTTCTATTGATAAACTTAAATCACCCTATATACATATCATACGCAATTGTATTGATACTGAATTGTGGAATAAAATTGACGTGATTGTTATAATTACAAAGTACTACTTTGTTTGCCAATCAGCACGCGACAACACGCTGTTCCAAATATCGAACACATTTGTGTGGACTGTCGATAAGGTGGGAATTTTAAATTTCAAATATAACTTGTAAGTTTAAAAAGAACATTAAAGGCAGAGAAAACGTAAGTATAGCGCGCATTATGATGTTTGCTTGCAAATCTGTGTCATTCAAATAAATCATAAATACCATACAAAAACAGTTCAGTGCTTAAGTAATCTTTTTCATTCCGGTATATAAAGAATGTTGGTATATTCCTCATACAAGAAAACACTGGTGAAGTGCGCACCCAACCTGTTTTAAATTTGATACTCTATAAAGGACATTCTGACAATTTCCGCCCATAAAAATTACAAAGAGATTGTCAGCTGTGTCCGACAACTATGTTCCTTCTTGTCCTTGGTCCTGCCTTACTGTACAATTTGTATTTTCCAGGTGTCCGTATGAATTCTTTAGTTTGCCCTTCTATACATGTATGTAATGTAAAGTTTCTCAGTCACCATCGATTGTGAGGTCCCGTATATAAAAAAAAAACTCCCCAGGTCATGTTAAGATAAAAAAAAAATGTATTTTATGTACATTTTGATCAAAGTGGACAGAAATTCGAGCAGATCACAATGTTCGGAACCTCGCCTACCACAACGACATACCATTCCAAGTACGACAGTTTGCGTGTGAGGAAAATGACACTGTATGGTGGAGAAAAGTGCCAACTCGAAAAATGGTAAGAAATCCCTTAACTCATCAGGGCCACTGTGTATGTCTACCTGCCTATATAATTGTATTGGCTCTTTTCACTCTTGTTACGTCCCCAAAACGAAGTGGGGGACATATTGTTCTTCTTCTTCCGCCTTAAATTTTGTCCGACACATTTCTCAAAAACCATTGGACGGAAATTAATGAAACTTTACACAAGTGTTCGTCATGGTATAGGAGTGTGCAAATGATCTATCATTTTCCAATCGGTTAACCACGATGGCCGCCACAGCCTCGGATTGGTCGAAATTGAATATTGGTCGATTTTGCTCAAATTTCATATGGAGGTCTATTTTGGCAGTGCGAACATAACTGCGGGGATTTGGGGGGAATTCTGTAATGGTCCCCCATTACAATTAGTACTTGTTGTTATTATTATTATTATTATTCCTTTTTCTTCTTTCGCCGTGTACTTCTCCGACTATTTCCTCGGGTCATATCTTGATGAAACTTCACATGATGAATCAAGGCATATGTAGTTGTTGCTTTCAAGTCTTTATTTTCAGATCGTTGGCATAGCAACCACATGGCACGGATGCTTCTGATTGGTCGAAATTAAGATATTATTCGATTTTTATAACAATTGGTATATAGGAGTATTAGTGGACTGCGAATTCAACCACATAGGTTTTGTTGCCATATCAACCGCATAGAGGCTTCTGATCGGTCGCAATTCAGAAATTGTTCGATGCTCAAATTTAGTATGTACATAATTGGTGTATTATAGCATAACGATCCTTTTCTGGTGCATCTTTGCGACTATGGGGCAGTTTGGGGAACGTCTTTAATGGTCCCCCATTACAATAAGTACTTGTGTTGCTATTGACTTTTGAGAAAATCCCTTTCATTTTTGACATCTCCCTTAACGTTTCCTTGTCTCTCTTGGTCACCATGTCACTGTGTCTCTATTGGTACAACCATGACCCCAGGTCAGCCTTTGCTGGGTACAAGCATGTTCCCATGTCTATCTGTGATGTGTATGTATTAGTGTCTTATTAAAGGGCACGGCCATGTCCCCCTGTCTATCTATCTGTGATGTGTATGTATTAGTGTCTGTATGGGCACTACCTTGTCCCCATGTCTATCTGTGCTGTGTATTAGTGTCTATGGGTACGACCATGGCCCCATGTCTATCTGTGCTGTGTGTTAGATTTCTATGGGCACGAACATGACCCCATGTCTATCTGTGCTGTGTATTAGTGTCTATGGGCACGACCATGGCCCCATGTCTATCTGTGCTGTGTATTAGATTTCTATGGGCACGACCATGACCCCATGTCTATATGTGCTGTGTATTAGTGTCTATGGGCACGACCATGGCCCCATGTCTATCTGTGCTGTGTGTTAGATTTCTATGGGCACGAACATGACCCCATGTCTATATGTGCTGTGTATTAGTGTCTATGGGTACGACCATGACCCCATGTCTATCTGTGCTGTGTATTACATTTCTATGGGCACGAACATGACCCCATGTCTATCTGTGCTGTGTATTAGTGTCTATGGGCACGAACATGTCCCCATGTCTATCTGTGCTGTGTATTAGTGTCTATGGGCACGACCATGACCCCATGCTATCTGTGCTTTGTAATAGTGTCTATGAGCACGACCATGACCCCATGTCTATCTGTGCTGTGTATAAGTGTATATGGGCACGATCTTGTCCCTATGTCTATCTGCTGTGTATTAATGTCTATGAGCACGACCATGACCCCATGTCTATCTATGCTGTGTATTAGTGTCTATGGACACGACCATGACCCCATGTCTATCTGTGCTGTGTATTAGTGTATTTATGGGCAAGAACTTGTCCCTATGTCTATCTGTGCTGTGTATTAGTGTCTATGGGCACGACCATGACCCCATGTCTATCTGTGCTGTGTATAAGTGTCTATGGGCACGACCATGACCCCATGTCTATATGTGCTGTGTATTAGTGTCTATGAGCACGTCCATGACCCCATGTCTATCTGTGCTGTGTATTAGTGTCTATGGGCTCGACCTTGACCCCATGTCTATCTGTGCTGTGTATTAGTGTCTATGGGCACGAACATGTCCCCATGTCTATCTGTGCTGTGTATAAGTGTCTATGGGCACGACCATGACCCCATGTCTATATGTGTTGTGTATAAGTGTCTATGGGCACGAACATGACCCCATGTCTATCTGTGTTGTGTATAAGTGTCTATGGGCACGAACATGTCCCCATGTCTATCTGTGCTGTGTATAAGTGTCTATGGGCACGAACATGTCCCCATGTCTATCTGTGCTGTGTATAAGTGTCTATGGGCACGACCTTGACCCCATGTCTATCTGTGCTGTGTATTAGTGTCTATGGGCACGAACATGTCCCCATGTCTATCTGTGCTGTGTATAAGTGTCTATGGGCACGGCCATGACCCCATGTCTATTTGTGCTGTGTATTAATGTTTGCATAGGCACGACCATGACCCCATGTCTATCTGTGCTGTGTATTAGATTTATATGGGCACGGCCTTGACCCCATGTCTATCTGTGCTGTGTATTAGTGTCTATGGGAACGACCATGACCCCATGTCTATCTGTGCTGTGTATTAATGTTTGTATAGGCACGACCATGACCCCATAACTATCTGTGCTGTGTATTAGTGTCTATGGGCACGACCATGACCCCATGTCTATCAGTGCTGTGTATTAGTGTCTATGGGCAGGACCATGACCCCATGTCTATCTGTGCTGTGTATCAGTTTCTCTATGGGCACGACCATGACCCCATGTCTATCTGTGCTGTGTATTAGTTTATATGGGCACGACCATGACCCCATAACTATCTGTGCTGTGTATTAGTGTCTATGGGCACGACCATGACCCCATGCTATCTGTGCTTTGTAATAGTGTCTGTGGGCACGACCATAACCCCATGTCTATCTGTGCTGTGTATCAGTTTCTCTATGGGCACGACCATGACCCCATGTCTATCTGTGCTGTGTATTAGTGTCTCTATGGGTACGACCATGTCCCCATGTTTACCTGTGAGATGTAGTTGTGTCGCTATGGGCATGTCTAAATGTCAATCTCTGCTGTATGTTCGTGTGTTTCTCGAGACCATAATGTCCGAATGTGCATCTTAATATTTGTTTTATTTTTCGTGTTTCTCTTGCACTACCTTTTCCGCATGTCCAAATAAAGTAATTATATATTTCACCATTTGTTGTTTGTTTTATGTAATTGAATTATTTGTATTTTTGACTGATCGATCCAGGGTCAACTTTCGTTAGTTCACGGATAGTTAAAAACATAGCATAACATACACGGTTACATCAAATCATAATTATCGAAAACGAGAACAGAGATATATTACATTTATTTTTTTGCCATTTTAGGGTAAAAAAGATAAGAGCAATGCCATTCCAAAAACACATCCACAGTATTGTTACACACAGAGAATACTAGTACTTTTGCGTCCGATTATTCCTTGAGATATAGTATATTTGTAACGTTACTTCATATTACTTATTTCGATTAACATTTACACAATTTTACTTCATATTTTTAATAAAGGAAGAACATATTTTACTCATGTTGCTGATTACACTATAGCGTATGAAACTTTTGCTAAGGTATCCAAATGCAAAAGATGTCGGAGACGCTATAAAGCTGTCCCTAGGGAACGGGAGTGGGGATGGGCAAAGTTTGTGTGTATCAGCTGTGGAAACGAGTTCAAGTGAGTATTTATTACAGTAATAGTTATAGATTATTACACTGTATTTTCAGGGTTTGTCGTGAGAAATTTTTTATCATCGCGAGCACGTGGATACAATCGATAGGCCACCGCAGATGGACTCGAGATTTTATTTACGTGCTCGCGATGAGAAAATTATTTGTACGACAAAAGCTGAAAATACTGTAGGATAAACTATTGATCAACTATATATACTACTACCTCATATATTTTTCTATTTAAAAAACTCAACTAAACACCATGTTTTCCAAATGACTTCTAAGCTCAATGGTCAACGTTAATGATCGCAAGTGACAAACGTAAACAAACAGAAGTTTTGCGCGGAGGAATACAATGAACCTTAAAACTAAGTAGATTAAAAAGTTTTAAAACAATCCTATCGTCATTGGCTTTTCCATATGCACATTTACACCTGAAATGGTGTTGTTATTCTCACAATAATGTTCAGTGACTTTGTTTTGATATGTTTATGACGGAGTATTTTCTTATAAGACTAAATAAATACAAGCTGTGTACAGTTATAATTTAAACATGGAACATATATGTTTTCTGAAGATGGATGCCCTTGATGTTGTTGTATAACATTGTGTTCACAGTGGATTCGGCCAGATGAACAGTACGACTTCCCCCTGTTATCCTTGTGGTAACATCTGTCACGTGGAAGAGGTATTCCCGCCTAAACGTCATAATAATACAGGTCGGAGGTCACGACACAGGCACTCATGTACGGCACACAACTGCTATAACCGGACTGCGGGTTAGTATCCGTGTCAGAATTACCAATTATGCATCCACTCTCACATCTTGTGTCTCAAGTCATACGCCCGGCACATACACACTCCATCTTGTGTCTCAAGTCATACGCCCAGCACATACACACTCCATCTTGTGTCTCATAACCCAAAACATTCAAACTCACATCATATGTTATCGTTTTTTAGAGATCCATTCTGACATCGTGTGACTTTCCTTCTCTCCACACATCCACTCTGACATCGTGTGACTTTCCCTGTCCCCACGCATCCACTCTGACACCGTGTGACTTTCCCTTTTCTCACACATCCACTCTCACACCATAAGACTTTCCCTCTCCCCACGCATCCACTCTTACACCGTGTGGCTTTCCTTTCCCTCACACATCCACTCTCACACCATGTGACTTTCCCTCTCACCACATATTCACTCTGACATCGTTTGACTTTCCCTCTTCCCACACATCCACTCTGACATCGTGTGACTTTCCCTGTCCCCACGCATCCACTCTGACACCGTGTGGCTTTCCCTTTCCTCACACATCCACTCTCACACCATAAGACTTTCCCTCTCCCCACGCATCCACTCTTACACCGTGTGGCTTTCCTTTCCCTAACACATCCACTCTCACACCATGTGACTTTCCCTCTCACCACATATTCACTCTGACATCGTTTGACTTTCCCTCTTCCCACACATCCACTCTGACATCGTGTGACTTTCCCTCTTCTCAACCATCCACTCTGACATCCTGTGACTTTCCCTCTCCTCACACATCCACCCTGAAATCGTGTGATTTGCCCTCTCCTCACACATCCACTCTGACATCGTTTGCTTTGCCCTCTCCTCACACATCCACTCTGACATCGTGTGACTTTTTCCACACAAACACACTCACATCTGACCCCTTATACCCCCACATCTCTTTACTCTCTTTCAAATCATGTTTCTGATCCTTCTCTCCCCACACGTGCACCTCTTCTTATTACTTCCTCACACATATTTATCTTTTTGACGTTCCGTTTATCCACATATCGATAACTAGTATAAAACCTATTATCAAAGGGTCGTGAAATATTTTCAATTACTTGAAGGGGGTTTACTTACATATCAAAAAAACGACAAAAAAATAAAAAAATATAAAAATATGTAAACGTACAAAAAGACTGGATTCTAATATATGTATACCAAATATTTAACTGTGAGGCATGTCTTGCAACACCATTCTTTAAATCCTGTCCTGCAAACCTCCAAGTCAAACTTATTAACAGTTGAGTGGAAACATTCTTTTCATCGTAAGACTAAATAATTGTATTAATAACTTACAGACGCCCAGTTTAGACCCAACAGATGCGTCCATCCCCGATCTCTGGCGCGTCAGGTAGTACACCCAAGCCAGCGCCATAACAGCACGGGTTCTACTGTTGCCACATTCCTCAGCCAGGACGACATACAGACCTTCCAGGACTATCATGGGCCCCGTAACATGGCCGACGTATCGGAAGAAGGAAGCGACGCATCACATGACAGTTAGCTGTAGTAATACTTAAGACATCTATATATGTCCTTCTCAACTTTGATTTTCGTTTTGTTGTGACGTTATTTCAGAAATACATGTTCTATAACCTGAGTCAACACAGATCGAAATTCCAAAACAAGAACAGAAATAATGTCATACGTTGTTTTTTACGAAAGTACTATTAGTCAATATATTAAATGCTGCAATTATTTGTGATTGTGTTAAAAACAACCTGTATAACAGTAAACACCATACTTCGGAAGTTTCATAAACTTCATAAACATTTAGAAAATATACATCGGCTAGTTGCTAAAGGGTAAAACGTACTTGATTGAGCAGGGTACTTAGGATGTTTAACTTATCTTTTTGACATATAATTAAGACGTCAATGGATGGACTTATCGATAACAGGAGACCTGTCCCATTCGCCGATAGGTGACTTCTTTGGGGGGATATTATATTGAAATACTCGAAAATTCTCGGAGTGTACGTTTTGCCCACATATTGTCGTCTTTCCTCGTGTAAAGGTTATTTCGCTTATTAAACTGTTAACTTAGATGTTCATAGTTCTCTTTACGTTAGTATTTCTGTTTTCGTCCAAATCAACATTGCAGTGTGTGTATCGCAAATATGTTTTCCATATTAAACATATTGCAACGTACTTCTATAAGAATTTTATCCTTTTAACGTTTGTAATCATTATTAGGAATAAATTAACAAAGCTGAGCGTGATCACAACGCCTTTGTGTTTATTTTACTTTCTGAAGATTCTAAATTAATTGGAACACTTTCGGAAACGCCAGAAGATGCATGTAAAATAAAGGTAGCGTTTATCCATAACTCACTGAAATTATTGATAGCGATGGCTGTGAAAGATAAACGATCTGTGTGAGTGATTTATAGGTTGTAATAAGGTATTGTCATAAATGAAGAAACTACGCTTTTGTTTTGTTCTTTCGATATGATTTTTATCTCTTGACCCTGTGTCATAGACTTTTCATCAGATTTGTTAGAAAAAGATTGGTAATGTAGGACTCACGAATTTTGCAATCAAACTATGAAGTAGAAACCTTTGTTCGTAGCGTGTTCAGTGCAGTTGGTAAGACATCTCCTCATCACGTCTTTCTTGAGTAGTGTAATTAATGTTTTAATGAGCGTTACTTTTTGGGGTTTGCCGGAATGGTATCACTGCAAGTGTCTAGCCTATAAAATCTGTCCTCAATGACTAAACTTTTTCATATGAACACACTCATATTTCCTCAAAAGTTACATATGATCGTCATGAATATTCATTGTAAAACATAGAGAGTAAAAGACGCAATATTTAAAAGAAAATAAACAAACACCGGGGAAATATCCAATAAAAGGACAGGAAAGACGTCATAAAACTAAAAAAAACAGAGATAGAACCAATCCGAAAGGGTACGTATATCCCGCATCACACGTGACACCTGGCCTGCTGCGTGGCATTACATCAAGTAAATTAGGTCCAGTGCCAAGCTTACGCTGTAAACAAGTGTATAGGTACATTATACACTGAAATATCACAGTTTTGAATCGGGTCACTGTCATGGTAATGACAGTAAAGTTGCATTGGAGATTATAGCCTCTCATGTAGTAAATCCTGATAACTTAGTATTGGCCAGTGCAGATAACCCTTATACTTACAACAGGATTGGGAGAGGTGATACAATTGTTGAATTTGATTATTGAAGACAGTTGTTACAATGAAATACATGGTATCGAGATCTGATGTTTATTGCTACATCAAAATATAACATCGAAGTTACGTAGGTCTTAATGTAGTCCGTTTTTGAATCAGAAAGACTGACGTGTTTTGGTCGAAATTCAGTAAGTCCCACCTGTAAAACAAGATATCGACAGTAAGGTGAGGTGAACACATCGAAAATACAACACAGGGACAACATCTGAGCCTTACGGAAATACCTGAACAGGTACTGACACAAAAACTAAACCAATGGCATGGCCACTATGTATATATTTTTTCTCATATTACTGTGATCATGTTCAGTTGAATAACGAAGCATGTTTGGTTGGTGCATTGAAGGTTTATTATCGGCACCACAAGTAAACCATACGATCATCGAATATTATTGGCGTAAATTAAAATATACAAATTCAAACAGGGTGAGCTACTTCTCTATCGATAAGTCAAATAATACGAAGGAATGAAGTATATCCGTGAATGTCTATCACAAAACATTTCCAGAATCGGAAGAATTGCGAGCATTTCATTTTTACAATCTCCGGACACGCTTCTTTTGTTTTATTTTACCAACAATTTTGTCGCTTTTTTCGTGGAAGTACAAAAACTAGTTGTGCGAATTATGAAAAAGAAAAAGACACCAACAGGAACGCGGAAGACATGAAAACAACAGAAAAGACATAATAAAGTCGGGAAGGTGTGCGGTTAGTTCTAAAATAATCTGAGTACTTTATTGATAACTTACTATACTAGAGAGACAGATTTGTGAGCTTAACGATATACTCACTGTTCTGGACGGTTCGTTTTGTTACTGGCATTCCCGATCGGGATGATATAGCTTTTGAAGACCTTCCAACAGTATTTCGACCTTGGTGCAAAGGATATACAATGGTTAGCGGTTGTATATATTTCGTTTATGTTGGTGTAAAGGACATTTTATTGTTACTGGTTGTGTAGTTTATGTTGGTGTAAAGGACATTCTATTGATACTGGTTGTGTAGTTTATGTTGGTGTAAAGGACATTTTATTGTTACTGGTTGTGTGGTTTATGTTTGTGTAAAGGACATTCTATTGATACTGGTTGTGTAGTTTATGTTTGTGTAAAGGACATTCTATAGTTAATGGTTGTGTGGTTTATGTTTGTGTAAAGGACATTCTATTGTTACTGGTTGTGTGGTTTATGTTTGTGTAAANTTGTGTAAAGGACATTCTATTGTTACTGGTTGTGTGGTTTATGTTTGTGTAAAGGACATTCTATTGTTACTGTTTGTGTGGTTTATGATTGTGTAAAGGACATTCTATTGAAACTGGTTGTGTGGTTTATGTTTGTGTAAAGGACATTCTATTGTTA